TCAAGTCATGTAATTAACTTATGCTCATAGTTAAGGTGAGGATAATTTGCTATGCCATCGTTAAACAGTTATAATTAACAGTATCAATTTGCACTAGAGCTTGTCATTAAGACAGTACTGATATGGATTCATCCGATTTTTAGAATTTGTAACTTACAAGGATTTTATAAAAACTGATGTCCATAAAATAAATTACTATTACAACTTACATTGTCTTTATTTTTGTCTGGATAATCAAAAGACACCCGATGGCTGCTCTTGCAAGTAATCTCTAGAGATTCTCCTTCGTTTATCTGCAACTCTGTAGCATTTGTATAAAGCTGGAGTTTGTGTCCATGGCAGCCTGCATAGTATTAATAAAACAGTATTGCTGTAATCGTCATAAATTATTTACTTTAAATTTATAAAGTACACAGATTACTAGTAACATACGAGTTTTTTAAAAGTATTTATCAAAAAAGTTCATAATGGCGAAACAACATAAGTACTTAAAGGAGGTTTGGTGGATCATACAGAAAGGCAAGGAACGCGGAGTCTCCTTGGCCCGTGCAGATGTACCCCCTATAACATGCACTCTCTCTTATTCATTTTTTGTTGAGCATCTTTCTTTTGTACCGTGGAATCTATAAAAACGTTTTTTTTCGTTCTAACACAATTTTATCACACTTTAATTTCAATTGGAAGGCAACCTAACCATGTTTTATCATAAGAGACCATGTTAAATTAACTATTTTTTCCTCGAAAATTTCTCTGGTGAAAAATCTAAAAAAATGCACGTGCACTCCTTATGTACTCAAAATTTAATATACCAATCATTGTTTTTAGCACGATCCGACTTTTTAAACTTTACTCTCGAATCTTAATAACTTCGTATGAATCGAAGAGGTACTGTTTAAGTTTATCGAGGTTATAGCGCCAATTAATCGAAATTTTACATGGCCTACTTGATAGTACGTTAAGAAAAACGGCTATTGTCGTCAACTGTAGAAGCAGCAATGAGTCCTTTGATCCTTGAAGGTTTACCATTGTGTGCTATGCCTGGTACCTCCTATTTGTCGAAATATCTTCTATAAACTAAATTTGTGTAGCTTCACTACTCAGCCACGATTGGATTTAACATCAGAATAAAAGACTATTAATTTGATATTAAGCGCATATTTAGTAAAGATTATTAATACTGAATATGCTTAGCAGTGGCTCAGAGGTAAAAAAAAAAAAGAAAAGAGGGGAACTACGTCTTATCAATGTATTGATTACAATAATAAATTGACGAAACAGTTAATTATCAAACCTAGTGACGCAGCTAAGGATTTTCTTTGTTGCTTACATCTTACTAATATATAAAGCAAAGTCGCTAAAACTATTGTAATCGCTAATCGCGAAAACTACTGAACCGATTTTGCTGAAATTTTGTATACCGATTCTTGATACTTCCTAGATGGTTTTAGTGTAATTTTTATCTTGAAAACTTAATAACAATAGCAATAAATAAGCTCACAGTTTTGCAAAAACACGCCAGCTTTCCACTGTAGTTCAGTAGGATCCGATAGGTGGCGTTGACATGAAATCAAAGCTACCTACAACAGAATTAAATAAGTGAGGTTATAATACGTCGGAGAGTCTCAGGAATTTCTGTAATTGTCTACCAGCAGTTCTTTCAGCTGCATCGAAAATGTAGATAGTCGTGCAGCTGGGTATCCCGGTTACCGACGACACTCTTCTTTAATGGACAAGAGACCTAGGTAGGTCTACATCCACCCTAAATTTTCAGGGTTGACGAGTGCCACCAATAAAAAATTATTATAACCGATTACGTCTCTGGTGGAATACCAGGAGATGTATCTAGCCAGAGCATAACCTACTCCAACACTTCACAGTCATGTGCCCGTTACACCATCCCACCTGGTGCAGTTAGAGAATTTGTGGCTACAAATGTAAGCAAGGGAAAACAGCTCTGAGGGGCACAGGAAGCCACAACGGCTACCTTGATACCTTCTTAGTCGTCGCGTCCCCAACGGCATACCTACATTTTCCCGATTAACGGTGAGCGGTTGGTTATCCGGAAAACGATTTGAAGGCAAAATATTCTTTGGTCAGTGGCGTACCTCCCTCCATCACAGTCTCCGTACATAGAGACTTCGAGGATAAAAATCAAGCTACCTGCAGCCAGCTCTCCATCATCAGGAATAATAACAAAGAATAGCCTGGAAGTTTCACCACTGGTCCTTTTTAGGGCCATTGTAATATTCACGTTCCCTACTTAACCATCAATCTCATTGGTTCTTTTAAGGGCCACCTAAGTTTAAATTACCTTGCCAACAATTTCTTTTTTTACTACCATTTCCAGAAGCAATTCGTCGACTAAAAGACTATGTTAAGTAAAGACGGCCACTATTAAACAAGTCAGTCATTCACTGGCAGATGTCACGAACAGAGTTGTTCGTCGCAAGGCTGAGGACCCCGGTGACTGGCGACCCCTCTCGATTCTAAGTGTTTAACTAGGAATCACCAATCCTCTCCTAAATCTGCACTGGACGAACCTAACATCTATGAAGGGAAAAAGAACTTGAGCCAACGGGACAGTTTCCATTGGGCAAGCATCATGAACCAATTCCCCCATCTTAGATTACCAACACAATTGAGTCTGCAAAAAAAAGGTGCTTTAGACACCAACGTCTTCGACGTTATACCGGGAGACGTTGGAAAAGAGCACTATAACTAGCTCCAAAGCTTCGGACTTTATAATTTTTTTCCCGATTAGTCTGGGGCTTCAACAGCAGGCCAGAGAAGATCACTCTGAGGTATCCATGTAGTCAGAATTGCTGTAAACTTTAGTCAAGAAAGAGTTTACTTAAAAAGCTCACCGGTCTTTTTTAGGGCCATTGGACGTCGAACTACTTTGCCAACAATTATATTAGAACTTGACAAAGTTGATTGAAAACAGCCTTTATGAGTCACAAAAGTCGTAAGCATGCCAATAGTCGCAAAAGGGTATAGTGGAAAGAAAACTTCAAATGTATCTTATGAATACAATTTTAGGCGTCAAGAAACTGACGCAAAAAATGTTTAGGGATTGGAACAGCAGCGTCAAAATCAACAAATAAATAATCCATTACGTGACAGTTGAGATTATCATTGTACCCTAACAGTAATCTCCTAAATCTTTCAGTTTTTTAAACAAGTAGAAAATATATTTGTATTTTCTTTGCGATAAAAAATGTTGAGATTAAGCTCCAGGACTTTGTTGACCTGGTATAAAAGTTGTGAGATAATGGGAAAAAAATTTTTTTTAGTACATACTTTTTGGGGATTTTCAATCTTAACAACTTAAAAAAAAGCCCTTTTCGTAAATTATACGGAGAAACTGCAAAATCAACGGCCCCTTATGACCAACGATCATTTAATGGCATAAGGAAAGCACGGTACTTTTCAGCATAATTATATTTTTTTAAATTTTTCCAGCTTATTATTTGACCAAATAAACTGTATGAATTCCGAACAAATATGTTTTTATAAGAAGATCTTTATTCTAAGAAGTGTCTGGAATATATGTAAAATTTCTAACCAAAGCATTTTACAGTACATGTCAACACACTACGATATTCTATTTAGTGAGTCTCGAGCAAAGCCGAGACGGGGGGCCGCTAGTTAAATATATAGATTAATAGCTTACAAAGCTTTTTTTTTAAACGAGTTATTGTAATATTGGAAAAACCTAACAAATTAGCAGATTTTTTCAAATTTGTAAATTGGGAGGGAAATTATTTGATTGTCACATAGTTAGGATAATTGAAGTATAATTTTCAAGAAAATTTTAGTACCCAGTTTTTTAGACATGACTGATACTCAGGAGTGACTTATATTTTTGCCAGGGCAAAAAGTTTTAGTACCTTTAAAACTAATTGTTTTTGTGTAAAAAAAGTTTTTGTACAAAAAAAATTGTTTCGCGGATCTCAGCGTCAGGAGTGTATGTATGTATGTATGTATGGGCGTAATTAAGTTTTTTGATTAATTCATGCAGTTTTTGTCCAGGATGTAACCCAAATGTTCTGTGAGCCATAAAGTGCTAAAAAATAGTAAAAACGTAGTTTTTCCCTATCTAACTCATTTGTTTTGTACTTTAAATTATGATATTAAACGTAAAAGTTATAGATCTTATTGAAATACAACTTTTTTGTGTAAAATATTTTTATGTAGGGTGTAACGCACACGTTTTAAGAGCCGAAAAATGCTTGTAAAATGAATAAAAAGTCGTTTTCCCATATCCAACTTTTTTGTTTTGCACTCGAGATTATAAATTAAACGTGATAGTTAAAGGTCGCGTCGAAATACAACTTTTTTGTATTTAAAATATTTAGTTATAACATTAAATTTGGGATCTAAATCACAAAAATGTCGAAAAATTGTAAATTTATCGTTTTCCCCTACCTAACTTACTCATTTTCTTTATTTACATTTCAGATTACGAAGTTAACGTTAAATTCATAGATCTTTAAAAAATTTAACTTTTTTTTAACTACAATTTATGTCTGTAAGATAAAATTAACGCCATAAAACGCAGTTTTTGCATAAATTTAGCCACTTGTCAACGTCAACAAAAAAAGATTTGGGTAGCCTGAAAGAGCTTAAGAATGCATTGGTTAGTTTTAAACCTTTTTTCGTTGCTCATTCTCCTTTTAAGTCAAAAGTGTTATCTAAAACAAGTACTGATTGGTTATATTATATTTAACTTCACTTAAATTGGTGTTCAATATACTACTTATACATTTCTATTATTACTTGTACATTTCTATTTCAAAGTTCATTACCACTTATAAAGTGAAATGGTATTTAACTTTTAATTACTTTTGTTTGATAGTCAGTTGAACTTAATTTAGTACTTAGACATTTATAGTTATAACAATTTTATTTTTAATACTTTAAATACTATGACTCAAAGGCCATAAATACATGTTAGAGTACCCAAGCACTACTTGGGTGCCAGTCAATTAATATCCTTCTTAATCCTCCAAAAATTTAAATCCTTGTACAACTTTCAAGCAAGCAGAACTAGAACGATCTTTTAGGGCCTGAAATTTAAATAAATTGTTAATTTAAACCACGTTTAGTATAAGTAAGTCTGATTCATCAGTTTCAAATTCTGTTGACGAAGAAAAGTTTGTCATTAAACCTGAAATTTTAATTACTTTTAACGATAAATTTAATAGATTTCTGTACTTTTCCAAAACGATTCTTGGCAAGACAGGAGTAATTTCCACTATCCCACTCAAAGAGAAAATTTATTATCAATTTCTGATTTCTTTCCGCTACACTGAATTGATTCGATAACTTTAAGGGTGAGCCATCCTTTTGCCACGTAATATCAGGTTCTGGTAACCCTTTAGTCTTGCACAGCAATGTAATTGTGTTAAGAGCATCTCTCCACGACAGAACTTTTTCTGTGTCATTCATATTGGTTCGAATAATTGTCGGTGTTTCTGGTTCTACAAATAAAAACCTTGTGAGTATTAGATATTTAAGTCATCTACTCTTACAGAATACACTATAGTACTTATACTCTTTTGAGCCTTCTAAATAGTATACATTGACACATTTTAGAAATACATAATTTACATAAATTTGAAGACATAAATTAAGACTCTAGTAAACAATTGTTAAAAACTCACTTACAAGTTATTGGATTTTATGATTTAGAGGAATGCAGTGAAAGTATTTACAGCATAAATATTGATGTTTGATAAACGATAGTGGTTTTATATACAAATGCACACATACATGAGTAAATATATAGAACTGATGTGGGTAAGTATACAGCTTTTAGTTAACAGATATAAGTTTTATATGACTGTAAGGGAATTACTAATATTAGGGTTTTAAAATAGTAGTTTTCCTACGAGTTTAAAAAGTCTTTTTTTGCGAACCGAGAGGTTTGCGGCCCGAGCCAAAGGCGAGGGACGTAACGAGGTTCGTAAAGGAGACTTTTCGAACGAGTTCCGGAAAACTGCTTTTTCGCCCGAGGAAGTACCAGCCTCCCAAAACCACCCAAGGGCGGAAAAATATTTTTTTCTGCACTCTAAGTAATATCAAATGTTCTTATGCCCTAATTATACGCTGGTCCCAATCCGTCACAAATTTGGCCTGTTCTTTGTCATCAGGATAAAAAAAGTAGTAAGTTCTTGTCATTTACTTCTTTTGTTCTACAGTCTTATAAAGATGCATTTTTTTTAATAAGCACATGTGCCTTTATCTCTTGATGTCATCCGTATTCCACCACAATTTCATGAATGTTAGTTATTCACGTCAACGGAAGCATGTAGTACAAAAATATAAATATTCACTATGAATGTGACATCATACAATACATGTCAATTTATGATTTATGTTAAATCCTAAATCCTGTCAATTACCAAGGGTAGAACTTGTTCAACTTCTTTTTCCTACTCATTTTGTCTACCACTACTTTTCAGCTGTAAAAAATTATTAAGCAACTCACAAGTTTGGGAGTAGATGTCAAAGGGGTAGTGATATCAAGGAGGCAGGGAACGATTTTTCTTATTTATTTGAGTTTAGTAGACTAGACTGAAATTTTATAATACGAAATAATCAGTCTAACGTGTCTGGAGTATAGCATTTAACTACCAAAATATGTAACAGCACATTTAGTTTTTCTTCCCAGTGTAATGCATGATAACGAAAATATGATGGTAACTTTACTTCTTTCTATACTTAAAATATTGAGCAATTGAACTTTAAGCAAAATATTAGGCAACGAAGTATTCATCAATTTTTCACTACTCATTAAGTAGAACCAAATTTATGGTCAATAATTTTAATATTATATTTCAGATCTTAACAATTTTTCTGAACTTCTTTAGCTTGTCCTTAGCTGCACTTACGATTCTTATCTGCATCAACAAATAATTTCTAACATTGAAAAAAAAAGAATTTTTCTACTTGATTTGTATAATTCTAACACAATTCTCATTACTGCAGTTTTAATAAATATGATAACTATACTAATAATAATCATTACTCTTATGATTATCAATGAAATTATTTTTACCTTGGACTCTGAGGTTGAAACTTTTTTTAATATCGCCACCTTGTACGTACTGCCCTTTGCAATAGTAGTTTGCTTGATCAGATATTTGCACGTTTTTAATTGAGAGAACAGCTCGATTGACGTAACTGGAGTTTTTCCCCGTGATATTCATATTTTCTAGAATTAGATGTAAACTAGGTAGAGTTTTTGTTTTGTTGAAACATATTATAAAATAATGTATATAATGTAAGTCTCTTGATAGCTTACCATAATTATTTGTAAAAGGCAATCGTTTGAACCATGCAACATTTTTGAACATATAATTAATGAAAGCACAAGTAAAAGTAACGTTATCACCAACGAAAAAGTCTGTTTGGTCCTTAACAATTTTGAGGTGTTCTTTAAAATCCTCTTTGTCTTAACAAAAAAAAAAAAGATTGTTATAAAACATCAGTTGAATTTGGAAATGTCAACATCAAGGAGACTTATCGAGCACTAATTGATAATGAAAACTTAAAACGTTTTTTTCTTAATTTCCCCCCTTCCTTTTATAAGAAATTATGAATAAAAGCATAGTAAATATTTACTCACCAACAATTGAAATATCTTTTTGTTTTAAAAAACATAAATGATGATTACAAGCTTTGCAATTCAAAATGCCAAGTGTAGTAACGTTTATTGTTATTCTGGAATAAACTGCATCAGTATACGGCAATTTAATTTCTCTGCCCTGAAAACAAATGTTAATAAGATATTGGCCCCTTCATTCTTATGGAAGTTTGTGCATTCTTTCAAATATAAAAAGCTTCACTGCAAGTCTTTATGGTGTAGTATCTTCCCACGCGAATAGAACAACTGGAAAACGGATTTTGAAAAACTGGCGGAAGGCCTTTTGCAGAGACCAGACATGGATCACTATTCTTGTGTACATTTTCCATAAAAACTATCATACTTAATTTTTTAATGATTTTGCCTAACGATTCTAAAACGTTTGCCTTTTGTATTTATAATTGCTTTGTGATAACGTAAGCTATATAATTCTTTATTAGGCATTAATTTCATAATATACCACTTTAAAAATTTTCTTATCACTTGATAATTGATAAATAATACTTATCTATTACTTTATGTCTTTTCCCGCAATTAGTCTTAAACGTTAACTCTCCCTGTGCAGCGCGCAAAAACCAAAACACTTTTTTTTCAGTCACTATTACAACATTAAAATCTGATGTAAGTAATCTTTCTAATGGAACTATTAGTCTATAAAATAATGAGTTTTTAACCTTAAGAAAACAAAAAAAAACATAACAAATTATTGTTTTAAATATCTTTGGATACTCTGTATAATATTTAGTATGAGGTACAATACTGCATGCGTTTCAGATTTATGCATGTCTATTACCACGTATTATACTTATCGCCATATTTCTCTCAAAAAAATCTTCCGTTTGAAAAAAGTTAATCTGATACATCGAAATCTGCTCTTTGAAACACTATAAAAAAAAAAAAAAAAAATCGAAATGCTCTTTTTGGGATATAAAACCTTTTGTCTTTTTCTAGAGGTTACAAAATAAGATTTTTAATAACCGATAACTGTATTAGAAAGCTGAGGAAAAACGTTATTAAAAACGTATTTTTTCATGATGGTATAAGTTAATTTCACTGTTTTAACTGTGAACTGAAGTAGATGTTTTAGCGTTCGCACGACGCGCCCAGAGAGTTTACATGCATTGCCACCATGACAACTTTAAATTGTCTTAGTACTGTACGCTTTAAGAAGTATTGTTCACTTCTTTTATTGTTGAAAACTTACTTAAAACTTCGAAACACCTCAACATACTTGAATATAATATCATGTAATTATGTATCAATTAATAAAGGTTTTTATTTGATTAAGACTATACAACCTTCAGTTTTAGGACGTTGCAGTGATCATAAGAATTTGTTGGGCACTGCTTGAAGAACCATGATATATTCGCTTTTGGGTAACCATAGCTACTACATTTAAAGGTTGCATTCTTGTTAATAGGGTACAAATATTTGAAGCCACTTACATCGGTAAGAAAAACCTTTGGAACTTCATCTGGTGCTGCAAATAATGAAAACGTTGAATGAACAAGGTCTTGAAAAAATTACATAAAAAAAATTAATGAACTTAATTGAGTACTGTACGTACAATGAGTATTAAGTTTAAAGTACAAGGATTTGGTTCGTGCAGAATTATTTGCTCGAAGAGTATAAATCCCATTATTGATTCTGGTTGCGTTTTTGATCGTTAAACTAATTGATGATTTTGTATTACGAATCATAAAATTACCTTCTGATTTAATAACAGAATTTCTAGAACCTAACCTGGAACGTTATTTTAGGGTTTTATATATGTTCTATGAATCATAAATTTTCAATGCAAAGGACAATTTTTTGTAAGGAATAAATAATAATTATACCACTTAAGAGTTGGATGTGGATACGCATCAATATGAGCAACGAAAGTTACTGGATGGCCATATACTGCTGCGAAAAAACTTTTTCCTTTTTCATAAGTCAAGTTTAGGTATGTTTTCTCAGGATCTGTAATTATCATCAGGATAAGTCATTACAGTACCTATATATTTACTAGTCAGATTAGTTGTCATCTATACATTGATAGAATGATAAACAAACGTGGAAAACTACATATAATAGATGACTTACCGTATATACTTAGAAAAATATTTGAATTCTGATCTTCACTCTGCAACGATTTAACTTTGCACGTATAATTACCTTCGTCATCGTGACTAACATTGTTCAGGATAAGACTAGATGTTACCAAACTAGAGTGACTTTTGTTTTCTTCAACATGATTATAAGTTTTCCTTGGAATCTAATAAACACATATTTCTAGTAAGTCTTTTAAGTTTATATGAATGACAGTGATGTTTCATGCAAAACTCTGAATTGGGATAAAAAGTTAATTTGATGATCAAAAAAATTTTCTTGCCAATGATTTTTGTAGTAAAATAGAATAATGATTGATTAATCTTACAAGACTAAATATAAGAACTAGAAATTGGCGTTGGTTTATTATTTAAATTTCATTGTGTCTTTATCAATTTTTCCTTATCAGTAAAAACGCCTGTCATTGTTATAAATGTGTATTTTTAATCTTACGCATTTTCCTGTAAAAGATAAAAGTGGCTTTTATAGTAATGTACGTGTGATTTTCTTTTACCGAATCACGGGGAGTCTCCCAGGTGATGTTGTACGGATTATTTTTTTCAATCTCAACTGTACAACTGATGTTCAATGTGGAGCCAACAACGACATGTTCCAGGCCGTTTATTGTAATCACTGGTTTTTTCTGCTCTTTTTTAATGACCAAAAGTTCAGCGTATATTTTTTGCGTGAAACCATCTTGGTTTACTTCACAAGTATAGTTGCTACTATCCGAAAGTTCTGATTTTTGGATGACAAAACCCAATTTTGGATAAAAACTTGCCCTTTTGCTGATCACCATCTGGGGCTCCTACAAAAATAACATAAATAAATTTATGTGCACTATATGCTTACAAATAGAAAGTTAATATCTTAAAAATGAAATAAGGGGCCTACCAAACCATCAAGAGTTGTAAGCGTCACATTGAATTTGGGGGATGTTGGACGGCACGGCAGAACTACCTGATCACCAATACGTACTTTGCGTTTCAAGAGATCATTAGATATCTGTACAAAAGTACTTCTATTTGCTGCATAATATAAAAAAACTGCGTTACTTTGTGTACCTTCCTTTTAGTATTTATGTAAACTTAACTGAATTAAACAAGAATAAAAAACAAGATAAAAAAAAATTATTACATACTTTTAACAAAAATGTATATTCCACTGGTATTTAAATTGTGGGAATTTATTTCTACGATGGTATCCCTCTTACTAGTGCAGTTGTACCAGCCAGAGTCACCAAAGACAAGGGACGCTCGTTGAAATGTTGTTATTCCATCTTTTTCATCACGAGTAATATTGTACTGAGATGTGATTATCTAGTAATTATAGTAAACATGTAAGTCGAACTTTGTTTTTTTTTTTTAATTTTCATTTACTGTGGTAAGAGAAAACCCAATGTAAAACGATTAGAATATACTTTTTGATAATTTAATTTACCTCTCATTCTACATTATTATCTTACAATTTACAAATAACAACTTTAATGTTAACCTTTTAATTATGTTTGACCTTTTTCCTACACATAGCAAGGGCCGATGTAAAATTATTCCGAAAGAAAAAAGAAAACGAAGTAGAATTTATATGAAATACAATGAAACAAATAATTATATTCGATTGACTGATTAAGGCAATGATGGCTGGATTTCATGTTTTACGCCTCTTTATCGCAATTTTTTTCACATAATACCTGTTAAAACTTCTAACTTAATATTTTTTTTTTACTAGCCCAAAGGCATAGTTAATGATATATTAGCAATATTACAATCTACAGCAGAACTTAAACAATTTCTAGTACCTGAAACCTATCGAAAAAATCCCCTTTGTCATTCACGCAAGACCTAACTATAATTGGATAGTACATTAAGTTCGGCCAAGTTAAAAGTTCTATCTCATTATATCTGACCAAATAACGTTTCATTCTAAACTGCTCTTAAGGATCATAGATTATTCTTTATTTTGGAAGTTTAAGAATATGTTACACCTTCGGTAGGCATATTTGCATCTCATCAGGATTTTGACAAAAGGAATCATAGATAATTTACAATACGTTTTCTTACTAATATATAAAGCAGAAGCGCTAAAACCGTTGTTATCGCTAACCGCGAAAACTACTGAACCGATTTTGTTGAAATTTTGCACACTGATTCATGATACTTCCTAGATGGTTTTAGTATAGTTTTTATCTTAAAAAATTTAATAACAACAGCAATAAATGAGCTCAAAGTTTGGCAAAAATATGCCAGCTTTTCACTTTAGTTCAGTAAAATCTGCTAGGTGGCGTCGACATAAAATCGAAGCTACTTGCAACGTAATTAAATAAGTGTGGTTATAATAGGCTGGAGCGTCTCCATAGTGTCGTAGTCGATTTCCGGCAACTCAACGAGCTGTATAGAGAATGCTGATAATAGTCTTGCAACTGGGTATCCCGGTTACGGATGACACTCTTCTCTAAAGGAGAAGGGACTTAGGTGTCCATTCACCCTGAATCTCTACGAGTGCAATCAAAAAAAAAAAATAATTCCAACCGATGCCATCTCTGCCACAATACCAGGAGACATATCTAGCCAGAGCACAATCTGCACCAACTCTTCAGAGTAGTGTGGAAGTCCCAGCACCTGGTGCGGGTAGAGAAATCGTGGCTACAAATGTAAGCAAGGGAAAACAGCTCTGAGCTCTGAGGGGCATGGGCAGCCACAAAGATATTCTTTGGTCAGCAGCGTACCTTCCTCCATCACAGTCTCCGTACATCGAGACTCCCAGGTTAAGAATCAAGCAACCGTAGCCAGCTCTTCACTATCAGGAATAAGAATAGCCTGAAAGTTTCACCACTGGCGCTTTTTAGGGCCATTATAAGTACTTACGTTCCCTACTTAACCATCAATTTCATCGGTTCTTTTTAGGATCCACCTAAGTGTAAACTACCTTGCCAACAAATAAATTTTTATTACCATTTCTGGAAGCGATTCGTCGACTAAAAGACTATATTAACTAAAGACGGGCACTATTAAACCAAGTCAGCCATTCACTAGCAGACGTCACATGCGGAGTTGTTCTTCGCAAGGCTGGAAAACCGGTGACCGACGACCCTATATTACCCTCTCAACTCTAAGCATTCAACCAGGAATCACTGATCCTCTCCAATGTCTGCGTTGGGCAAACCTATAACAGCTATGTAGGAAAAAAAACTTGAGCCAACGGGACAGCCTCCACTGGACAAGTATCACTAACCAATCTCCCCATCTAAGATCACCAAAACAACTGAATCTGCAACTAAAAAAGGTGCTTTAGACACCAACGTCTTCGACGTTATACCGGGAGACGTTGGGAAAGAGCACTACAACTAGCCCCAAAGCTTCGGACTTTGTAATTTTTCTCCCAATCAGTCTGGGTCTTCAACAGCAAGCCAGAGAAGATCACCCTGAGGTATCCAGGCAGTCACAATTGCTGTTAACTGCAGTCAAGAAAGAGTTAACTTAAGAAGCTCACCGGTCTTTTTTAGGGCCATCGGACGTCGAACTACCTTGCCAACAAATATATTAGAACTTAACAAAGTTGACAGAAAACAGCTTTTAGGGGTCACAAAAATTTTAAGCATGCCAAAAGTCGCAAGAGGGTGAATTGGAAGAAAAATTTCAAGTGTATCTAATAAATACAATTTTACTCAGGCGTCAAGAAACTGACGTATAAAATTTATCGAGATTGAAACTGCAGCGTCAAAATCAATAACATAAATTTTTTGGGGGTTTAAAATCTTAACAGCTTTAAAAAATAGCCCTTTTCGTGAATTACACGGGAGAAACTGTAAATCAACGGCTTCTTATGGCCACCGATTATTTTATGGCATAAAGAACGCACGGTACTTTTCAGCATAATAATTTTTTTGAATTTTTACACCTCATTATTTAACCAAATAAACTATATGGATTCCGAAAAAATATGTTTTTAATAAGAAGATTTTTGTTCTGAGATGTATCAGGAATATGTGTAAAATTTCTAACTGAAAATGATTCACATTACATGTCAACACACTACGGTGTTTTATTTTGTAAGTCTCGGGCGAAGCCTAGGGCCTAGAGCCCTGGGGGCTGCTAGTACTGTATACCTGTAGACAGCAAATGCGGGGGTTTCAAACTAAATAGTGACTACGAAAGGAAGAGAGATAGAAGATTCAAAGCTTCGCAGTCTCTTGCAACAGCACTAAAGCGAGGACAAAAGTTAAATATGGCCATGCCCATCTCTATCAGCTGGAACGCTGTTACATTGTGAACGATAATTAATTAATGAACATACTTTCAACGAAATTAAGAAAAGTCTGAAAAGACGAGATAATAAAAACCCTACTTTCAGGGATATATGCCTGAGTTAAAGCCAAGACAATGCAATTTGTTATTCTTGCAGATACAATTTTCTTAAAGTTAAAGAATCTTTTGTACTCTTATTAGAAAAATATTAAAATAATTTGATGAGTATTTTATTGGAATATTGACAAAGAAGTTATAGATGCTTTAAGTATATTAAAAATCCAGTTTCAAAACAAATACTGATACTTAACTTTTGCAGAATATTTCTTAAATTATTCAATTAACTTTTGATTAGGTTGATGAGATAATTTTTATTCTGCTATTGTTTAGCCTTTATTATTATAAACTGTATTAATTAACACTAGTGATCATTAGTAATTACTGATACGGATATCACCGTTGTCAAAAATTGTTTCTTTAAAATTATTATATAAAAACTAATAAACGTAAGATAGACTACTCTTGCAACTTACGCTGTCTTCATTTTTGTCTGGATAATCAAAATACACGCGATGGCTGCTCTTGCAAGTAATTTCTAGAGATTCTCCTTCGTTTATCTGCAACTCCGTCAAATTGGGATGGAGCTGGAGTTTGTGTCCACAACAGCCTGGGTAGTATTAATAAATTAACAGTGATGTAATTGTCATAATATATTCACTTCAAAGTTCCAGAAGCATACGCATTAGTGCTAACTTATAAGGTTTTTTAAGTATTTATGAAAAGAGTTAACTATGGTGAAACAAAAGCATTACTTTAATGACTTTGCATAAAGCGAAGAGGTACTGTTAATTATCAAGCTACAAAAGTTTTTTGACACAGACACCATTGTAGAACTATGTGTACATAGTTTGTATATAGTAACACATCGTTATATCCTAAATAAAAATAATGGTGTGATATCAGTAGTAATTTTGGATGACAAACCTGAGAGTAAGTTAAGGAAAAGGACTAGGATCGTCCATCGCAGAATTAGAGATGAGTCCTTCGGTTTTTGAAGACTTAACATTGTGTACTATGCCTATTGTCTTTGGCTTGTCGCAATATCTTATTTTCACCTAACTTGTGTAGCTGCACGACTTAGCTACTAATGAACTAAACGTTGAAACAAAAGAATATCAGTTTGATGTCTTCATGTCTGGCACGTATTGAATTTAGATGTTTGTAATGCTCACAGCAGTAGCTCACGAATGAGAAAGCAAGAAAATAGGGAGACCAAGTCTTATCAACAAACCGATTCTAATTATGACTTGACAAAACAGCTATTAAACCTAATAATGCAGCTAAAGAGTTCTTTTATTTCTTGCATTTAAGTCATAAATTATTAGCTTACGAAATACCGTGGAAAAAAAATACTTTACTATAATATCGTAGACAACAAAAAAAACAACTTTTTGTGAACAAAGTGCTATTAACAAGTCTTAGTTAAGCTCATACTTCCTGTACCAGTCATATCGTCATACCGATTATGATATTTACGTGACTAAATTTTTAAGAAACCCAATCATGCCAAGACAAACAGAGCGAGAGATAAACAAAGAACTTTTATACTTAGTACTTTTGTCTAGTCTTAAGACTTTTATAATCATAAAACAGTAAGGCCAACACACAGTTTTTTAATAACATTAATATTCATTAAAATTAGTTTTTTATTTCTTAGCTGAAGTTTTCGTACATGGACAAATAATTTATAAGAACTAATTCGTTGTACTGGTTAATTACAATTTTTTCATAATTAATTTCATACTGTAACTAAACAGTGCATGATATATTTTACGTTAATAATATTTTTAGTATCAAAATATCATTTTTATCTGTTTGTGTATTGTATACATTTTTAATTAGGATTCTAGTTGCAGAACTTTCATTTTATTAGCTTTAGTGTAGAGTATCTTCGGAAACATTTGATATGAATTAAAATCCACTAAGTTGAATTAAACTTAAGTAAAACACACAAATTTATTTTTTTTTAAACATTTAAGTCAAGAAATTAAAAATGTTTCCACGAGGAATGATGATGATTATTAAGAAGTAACTACCGATGTGCCGAATGCTCAAAGTACATTGGAGAAAATGTCGGAAAAACATGGATTTAAGAGATAACAACGATTTTATTTTATAAACAGTTTTTTGTTATGTGTAATGTATATTTTTATTTTATACTGTAAGTACTATTGTTACAGGATCATAAATTCATGTGAAAGTACCTATAAGCATCATCTGAACATCATGTAATTGAATGTTCCTCTTTATTTCGAAAAATCTGAATCCTATAGTTGAACTTTCAAGCTAGTTGATACTACCACGATCTTTCAGGACCTGAAATACAAATAAATTATTTGAAAACCTTTTGATAAGGAAGAATAAGTCAATAAACTTTAAATTTAAAGCACTTTTTATTATCAATTTTATACATTTTTGTACTTTTCCAAAACGATTCTCCGCAATACAGGAATAATTTTTATTATTACTCCCAAAAATATATTTTATTTTTAATTTTTGGTTATTTTCAGCTAAGCTGAATACATGCTATAACTTCAAGGGTGCGCCATTTATTTGCCACGTGATATGAGGATTTGGTGACCCTCTGGCCTTACACACTAAAGTAAGCGTGTTCGGAGCATCCATCCACGACAAAACTTTTTCTGTGTCGTTCCTGTTGGTGTAAACAATTGTAGGTACTACTGGTTCTGTAAAAACATTATTAATAAAAATTACATATGATTGCACAAAAAAACTACAATAAAAAATCTAATGCTTGGTTGCTTGTATTTGATCTTCATACAAAGATTTTTTTACTTGAAAACAAAAATTACAAATTACAGTATTGACGAGTTTTGAAAATAAATTGTGAAGAAAAAAATAATACTAAATAAGTATATGTTCTACAGTTAAAATTATTACTGTAAAACAAGTACACAAATAAAATTATTACAAATAAAGCATCATGGTCACAGATAGATGATTTGTAAAAATGTAAAATGAGATTGAAAGCATTCAGTAGCTCTTGAATTATAGTGTACTCTTGAAAAATTGGCGTATAAATTTCGTTTAGAAAGTATATTTTAAAACATATGATTGAGCAGACAAGGACTTATACGCGAACGAAAGATTATTACAAACGAGTGTGCGAATACATGTCGCTTCTGTACTCACATAGTGCGTACTTCATCCTATACATTTTTACCGCTTTTGATGTTTAAAATAGATTCGATTAGATACATGTTAATAGTTATATTATGTCTAATTTACTTAGTTGAATTTTTAAAAACATTCAAAGTAATAAGAAGATTACTATTGAAAAACGTGTGGTATAAGAGTTAAAAAAGTAACTTTTTACATTTCTCAAGGTTGTTGGGAAGGAGGAAACTTCAACGTGTTTCTTTGGGAGACACACTGTCAAATAAGATTTTTAGCAGTGCCCAGCTGATATAAGCTTTATTCGAGGCTCATCGTCAGTTTTCCGTATTTAAGTTGTTTTATTTATAATTAAACTAAATATAAAAAAACATTCGAAATGTCTGATGCTGCAAGAAAAATTTTAGAAAAACTTTTGAATTGTATGAGATAAACTATATCGAAAGTGTTTCTTAATCATCATTTTTGATAGTTGAATTGTAAGTCACAAGTATCCCATATTTATGAACACTAAAAGCATTATAACCTGTGTCATATTTATGTAAGAAAACAAAAGACGAAAGTTGGAGGTCGAAAGCCGAAGGCTGAGTTATAAATGATAAATGATAAACGTTATGAGTATGATCATAGTGCTCGAAATAACGTATAACTTGTTTTACTAAGAAAAACCATTTTTTTGATGTATGTATCTATTTTTAGAATTAGACTATCGTGGCACTTTTTTGCGATAAACCCTGTTATGTGATTATATCAAAGTAACACGTTATCAAAGATGCCCGTACGGGAAACTGTGACAACGGGCATTTTGTAAGGTTACGCGTGAAAAACTTGGGGATATCGTCGGTCGATCTCTTGTTTGTTATACTGCAATGAAAGTCCCACATTAAAATCAGAGACGTGTGCATATACTTTGGGTCTACAATCTAGTCAAAAAGTAGTATACTTAAAAATTACATGTTTTCATCATTCTTTAAAAGAAAAAATGTAAGGGCAAAAGTATTGTGTCGCAAAAGATAGTTATTTGTCTTAGAAAAACTTGATCTTGTGTCTGGGAATCAGCAATAATTGCCACAGGAAAAGGTTCAGGATAACGCAGGATATACAAATAGTAGGTTTTGGAAACTGGACGAGGAAGTGGTGGTGGAGTCGAGATCCAGGCTCACTGTACCTGTAAGCAATAGCGGAAATAAAATGGTTGTATGACTTTAAATATAAAATCTATTCTTTATCAGCAAATGATTAATGTTATTAATTACAGCATAGATTACGCTAATAATAATTTTGTTAAATAACTGACTGTAGTTGTAAAGTAGGATCAGCTTATCGATTTAAATAAGAATAATTGTGATAACTTATGTTGATGAACTTGATTAAGTATTTTTTCAGCTATCTATATAGTTAAAAAATTATATAGCCAATTATTTATTGGTTAATTAGGATAAGCTTTTTTTTATACTAGAGACTATTTTTTATTACTCAGACATAGATCTACCATATAAGACAATAGTGCCAATAAGATATGCTACTACTGACTAAACTAGAATAATCTTATATCACGTCCATTGATAGTCAAGAATGGTAGATGTACTCGACACAACCCTTTCCAATCATATCTCTGTACATTGATCAAACCATATTCATTGGCTGTACTGAACCCCACCGCCTGTCAAACTTACATGTTCCAAAATCAGCAAAAAAATAAAATAATATCTATTCATGTACGTGTATACGTATAATAGTCGAAATTGATATAATATGTATTGATGAATCATATATGTGTATATGTATTGCACGTGGAGGCTCCCAATAAAATAGTCTAAAATTTTAATGTATTATAGTTTTTGCCTTTCCAAACAAAAGTTACCATAGGAGCAAGACCCGAAAATTGGCAGTTTTAGAGAAAATAATTATAATTTTATTTTGAAATTTATTTAAGTACTAAACTATGAGCGTGTAGGTAGGCATCAGGGTCCATAATGGTCATTAGAGTTTCAGTTGTATATACAAAAATAGTGTGGGGGGATGTAGGGGGATCAATTAAAATTATTTGGGGGTGGTGGGGGTAAGTGGGGAGGGTAGTAGGCATCTGTATGTTGAGCTAAGTTGAAATAAAGGAGAAAACGACAAAATTTTGTTTTATTTTATGGGGGAGGGGGGCTGTGAGAAGGCGGTGAGAGGTCAACGGGGGTCGTTTTCTTGAATTTATCAAACTTGTAACGGCTGTAACGACAGAATGCCACTAATGATTTCGATGGAATAGAAAGGTATACTATGATGGTATACACTAATAATTAAATTTACTTCATGTTTTACGCCTCATGTACCATGACCATATAATGCTGACTTTTGAAGATATTTCAAGATATCTAGGTACAGACTATTTGCATTTGATGTCAAGAACGTCTCCCCGTGTTTCACTCAATCGATACCATAGGTGCTGGTATATGTGATTTTTCCCCTCCAGGTTAAGTTTCAAATCGAATATAATAGTAGCCAAAATAAATCATGCTTCGAATGTTTTATAGTTTGATGGGATCGTTGTGGTTGTATTAAGTTTCTAGCATTATTATGAAACATCTTTTAATTACAAGTAATTATATTAAATAGTTATTATTATGAGATTAATTAATATCGGTGGGTTTAGGGGAAATAAATACCTCAGGATCTACTGTAATATGCGCTTTAAACGAATTCAGATGTTTTTGTGCCATAAGTCAACGGTTTATGAAGGGATAAATTAAAAATTTTTTGTTTATCAAGTATACGAGATTATTGTGTTAGTCCAACATGTTTAGCGTAGTAAAAAAAAGACTGAAAAAAGTAGGATAGTAAGAAAGTGTTTAATTAATTAAGAAAGTATAATTCAGTTTTTGATACTCATTTTTTTGCTGTATAATGTAATACATTAGATGTATTTTTGTGTGATAAAAACTTGTGCATTATTCCCTTTATTCCATAATATTTATGTCCCACCTTAATTTCATAAATTATAGTCATACAAACAAAGAAAAGTACGTAGTGCGGGGTATTGAAAATATTCTACAAGTGTCTATAGATTCGATAATTAATACTTTTATTCTATTTATATATGTAAATTAAGAAAGGGCTTTTTTTTTGTATTTTTATCTTTTCCCACTAAATAATAAATTTCTTTTTAGCCTAATAATCTTCTGAGTAACTCACAACTTAGGAAATAGATATTAAATGGACAATTCATATGCTAACAAAACATGTAAATACATTTTTTTTTCCGTGGTATAATGCATACTATTATAGTTATTAGAGTAGCTGTAAATTATTTTTAGTAAAATATTTGTACAACAAACTACATCTTAAAGCAAGTGTATAAATAATATAAACTTATGGTCTAATATAACATAAGACCTAATAATTAATCTACTAATAAAAGTTGTATACAACTAAAATTTGTTGCGTTTTCTCAGCTGTATTAAATGTTAATAACTAATTTACTTGAACCAATTTCATGGTTAGAAATTTTATCAGATATTTTTAAAATAATTTTTATCAATTTTTTTCAGTCACGCTCCGACAGAAATTTTTTCTCTGCTAACGACAAATCACTTATTATATTAAAAAAAAAAAAAAATTTTTGTGACGTAATACGTAACAATCTGTGTTAATTCTGGTTATTATTATTATTACTGTGAAGGTTATAATAATAATAATAATAACAATAATATTAGAATAATAGTGATTACAGTATACTATTTTTACCTTGGACTCTTAGATTTAAAAACCTGTACTTTCCGCCACCCTGTACGTACTGCCCTTTGCAATAGTAAATTGCTTGATCAGATACCTGCACGTTTTTAAGTTAGAAAACAGCTTGATTGATGTAACTAAAGTTTTTCCACGTGATATTCATTTTTTCTAGAATAAGATGAAACTTTGATGAAGTTTGTTTCGGTAAAACTTATACTATGGAATTTTATATTTTGTTTATAAAAGGTTTTAATAGCTTACCATAATTGTTAGTGAAGTCGACTCGTTTTAACCAAGTAACATTTTTGTACATGAAATTAATGAAAGCACATGTTAAAGTAACGTTATCACCTACAAAAAAATCTGTCTGATCCTTAATGATTTTTAAGGGATTTTTAAAATCTTCTTTATCTTAAAAAGAAAACAAGTTATGAAAAATCAGGAGTTGAACCAAAAATTATCCACCCAAAGGAGAACGAGCATCAGAAAATGTTGGTAATGAAAATTTAAAAGATTTCCTCTACCGGTTTTTATTAAACAGGAAAAAAATTGTTTTAGATGCCTATTTAGGATCATATTACCATTTACTTTGACTGCATTAGCCCTCACTTACTTGATCTTCTTTGATAGAAAATTTCATTTAAAAGCTTTGAAAATATTAACGTACCAGCAGTAAAAATATCTTTTTGTTTTGAGTTACAAAAATGATGATTATAAGTAGTGCAATTCAAAAAGCCAAGTGTAGTGACGTTTATTGTTATTTCGGAGAAAACTACATTAGCATACGGCATTTTAATTTCTTTGCCCTGAAAATAAAAGTATTAATAAGATCACGCCTCTTCCGTCCTCATGGATGTTGAAATACTTTTGCAAATAGCAAGAGATGAGATAAATTTCTCTGATAGTCTTTGTGTTGTAGTGTTTTCTTACTTAATTGGATCAACTCTAAAAAAATTTTGAAAAACCGACCGACGGACTTTTAGAGAGACTAGACGGAGCTTCTTATCTTGCGTATATTTTTTATTAATACTGTTTGTTAATTTATTTATTCAAGTATTTACCTAATGATTTTTCAACATATGGCTTTCATAACTTTTTCATCGACGGGTTATTAATTAAATACTACTTGTGAATTCTTGTTTCTTTACGCAACTACAGGCCTAAGAGATTTGACGTTAATTTTCCTAATGCAGCGTGCGAACGTTAAATATTCTACTTTTCAGCTCATTAGATTAAAAAAGCCCATTTTTTTCATTAAAATAACAATTTTTCAAACATGAGTTATTTTTGTTTTTGAGTGTAATACGGTGATGAACGTGAGGTGCTATGCCATGCTTCAGAAGCTGTCGGTACCACGTACTAACAGTTTAATCAGAGTAAGCATAATACACCATATGGTCGTATTATCTTGAGGCATTACTTATATCAAAGTGCTATAGGAAAGATAAGGTCAACATACGCTATCTTTGTCATTCATCGCAGAGGAAGCAAATAAAATAATGAAAAAAAAAACATGCAGAATACATTCACAAATGGTTTAAATTTTTAATCAAAAGTAAAAAAAAAGTTTTCTAATAACGAGGTATTTAAAATTGAATTAATTTATATCCATAATAAGCATTTTGTGCATAACATTAAATAGTACCCTTAATTGTCTGAATCAACTGTTACATCCAACGTTAATGAGAATTTTCTGATTGCTTTTTTTAATCGTAGCTCAGCTCCTGTTTTTAGGATCACTTGACTAACTTAACTTGGGTCTTACTGTCTATATAGACTTTTTTTCGTACATATTTTAATACAAGTGACGTCTCAAGGAAACATGACTATGCGGCATTATATTTATGCTGATTTAACTACTGCATGATATGGGGATGATGACCGACCACTTTCGAACGTGAGAGGGAAGCAGGAAACTAAGACTCTAGCCGGTAAGAACAAACAGCGCTAATTTCAAAACCTTAAACTCTATAATCCAGTTTTTTTACGTTTAACGCCACTACCCATGTCTTTCTAATTACAGGGTCAGTTGGAAATTTAAATCCTTTTTTAGAAGAACATCTTGTCACGGAACAATTATTAGGCATTTTTCTGTTCATTGTTGTATTATACTTTAAAAAAGTTATTTTGACACGTAACAGACACTGAGCAGAAGATAAACATCACATGTATAGATATACAGAATGTATGATTTGTCTCCTTCAACCTTATTGGCTGGAGTCTTGGCTCCCCAGCGCCATCCGAGCCAAGATTGATAGGTTGCTATCCCCATGAGCAATGACTGTCAGAAGAAAAAAGAACTCATAAATAAAAAAATAGCTACTCTGATGTAAAAAAAAGCTGCTCTTTCGATCTAGACTATTAAGAAATATATTTAAAATGTCCACCTTAAAATGTATCTTATTTTGTGGTTTTAAGGTTAGAGACAATTTTTTTTCAATTAATAGTTGTATTTAAAAGCTGAGAAAAAATACTTTGGAAACGCATTTTTTAAAGTATGTTATGAGTTAATTTCGACGTTGCAATTTTCAGCTGAAAATAGAGTATTCTGCTGTTTCCCCGCTGCACTGGGAGAAATTACTTAAAATGCCTCCTACATTGAAATTTAAATTTACGTTTACGTTACAAAAAATGTTATTATCATTGTCTCTATTATTACAAAATTTACTTATCATCACACTCCAATATATTCAAATAAATATATTGTGTACTTACGTAATGATAAATTAAATTATGTTTATATTAAATCGAGCATTGAACAACCTTTAAGTTCAGGACGTTGCAGTGATTATCAGAATTTGTTGAGCACTACTTGAAGAACCACGATATATTTGCTTTTGGATGACCATAGCTACTACATTTGAAAGTTGCATTCTTGTTTTTAGGGTAAAAACTTCTTAAGCCGTGTACATCAGCAAGAATAACAGTTAGGATTTCGCCTGGCACTACAAGTTATGAATAGATCAATTAGGAAAAATTAGCAAATAATTTTATAAATTCATGTAATTATTGTACGTACGAGGAGCACTAAATTCAAATTTTAAGAATTTGGTTCCTGCACTATTGGTCGCTTGAAGAGTACAGATGCCATAATTAAACCATGTTGCTTCCTTTATGGTTAACCTACTTAATGATTTTGTATTGACAATTAAAAAATTACCATCTGATCTAATAACAGAAACTCTAGAACTAAACCTGTAATATTCATTCATAGTAAATGTTCTACGAATTATAAATTTTTAATGCAAAAGGACGATTATTTGTAAAAAAAAATTGTTATACCACTTAAGAGTTGGCGGTGGGTAAGCATCAATATGAGCAACGATAGTTGCAGGATGGCCATATACTCCAGTGAAGAATGTCTTTCCTTTTTCATACGTTAAGTTTAAGTATGTTCCTTCAGGATCTGTAAATACAGTTAATTTAGTTTAGTAAGTCAGCTAATTACGATCTGTATGAAAATAGAATGGTATATAATTGTAAAAAAGTATACGTGTCTCATGACTTACCGTATATTCTTAAAAAAATGTAGTTACTATCATCATTACTTAGTAAAGATTTTACTTGGCAGCTATAATTACCTCCATCATCGTAAGTAATACTGTTCAGGATAAGGTTAGATGTTACCAAATCAACGTGGCTTTCATTTTCTTCAACGTAGTTGTAAACTTTCTTGGGAATCTAATAATCACATATTCGAAATAACTTGTCATCAATTTTTTGAACAAAATAAAAAAATGATTAATTTAAATTGCATCACTTCATGAAATATTTATCACAAGAATTAGAAATCGTCGATAGTCAATTATTCCAATGAAGTTTGTTATCAGCTTTACCTTATAAATAGAAATACCTATCATTATCATAAACGTAAATTCTCGATCTTACACATTTTTTTACTGTGGAAGAAAATGTAGTCGCAGTTATGAATGTGTATATTTTTTTTTACCGAATCACGGGGAGTCTCCCAGGAGATGTTGTACGGATTATTTTTTTCAATCTCTACTGTACAACTGATGTTCAATGTGGAGCCAACAACGATATGTTCCAGGCCGTTTATTGTAGTAACTGATTTTTTCTGCTCTTTTTTAATGATCAAAAGCTCAACGTATATTTTTTGTGTGAAACCATCTTGAGTTACTTCACAAGTATAGTTTCCACTATCCGTCAATTTTGATTGATGTATGATAAAACCAAATTTTGGATCAAAACTTGTCCTTTTGCTGATCACCATCTGGGGCTCCTGCATAAATAAATTTACGTACACTATATACTTGTAAATGGTAAGTTACTATCTTCAAAATGAAAATGGAGTCATACCAAGCCATCAAGAGTCTTAAGTGTCACATTGAATTTGGGGGCTGTTGGGCGGCACGGCAGAATTGCTTGATTACCAATACGTACAGTGTGTTGTATGAAACTATTAGGAGTTGACACGAATGCATTTTTGTTGGCTACATAAAAAATATACTATGTTGATTTTAAAAATTACTTTTTTTTTATAATGGCTTATAAAAGTTAAATAAAATCATGAATGAAAAGGAATGAGCTTTTGTTGCAGGAGCACCATCACTTTCAGTATATACCTGAACCTAAGAGACTGAGAGATAGCCGGGGTTGGAGGGTAGTTATGGATCGAATACTATTTTTTGTAGCAACCAAGCGTGCAATAAACGTTCAACGGTAAAAAAAAGCCCGAGGTATGAAAAAACAGTTAATTATACTATTCACATACGTTTAACGTAAACGTACATCCCACTGGTATTAATATTGTTCGAGTTTATTCGCACTATTTTATCACTCTCATCAGAGCAGTTGTACCAGCCAGTATCACCAAAAACAGTTGATGGTTTTCGAAGTGTGGTTGGTCCATTATTCTGGTCATAAGTACTAGTGTGCTCAGACGTTTTAATCTATTAACAAACAGAATTAGTTAAGTTAAAATATTTACTATTTAACAACCTCATTTTATGCATCATCATCTGAAGATGTATACGTGATAACTAAATTAGTTTTTGTTTAACCTTTAGTAATGATATATATTTTTTGCTGTACGTAATTTTAACAATACTATTCAACTTAATGATAAATAATATTGAGCATTTTTACCATTATAGGTACAAGGGTTATCTCCGAGAAATCGCGATTTTCCTAAAAGATTGTTTTAAGAAGAATGGAGGATTAAAATATTTCAAACCAAGGCTTACTTGAATGTCATTACCGTAAAGCGGAGGTTTTAGAAATTTCATTTTTAACGGCTTGCGACTTATAAAATTATTTTATTCATTTACCCTTTTATCATCTAAAAAATTGAGATACTCGGTATCCTTATATGCAGAGTAAAAGAATGGAAAAAGTAGAAAATATGGAATATTTTACTCGTAAAGATCACTTTTAATACTTTTGAATTGATGTGTATCAATAGCGCACGTCAATCACTACTGAAGCGAAAGCTTACTTGTTTTTAAATTTTACGCACATAATGATTTAATAAAAACTTGTGCAAATAAGATGGTCAACACAAAAAAAACTTAAATTGTCCTTATCATTCTCTGTATTCTTAAAAGAAATATAATTGCTCTTGCAAGTGATTTCTAAAGCTTTTCCTTCATTTATCTGTAACTCTGTCAATGTTGGATTCAACTGGACTTTGTGTCCGTGACAGCCTGCATAGTATTTATAAAACATTATTGATGTAATCATTTATTTTAACAGTTCAAATAGAAATTGTGACATTTTGCAAGATAAACCACACAGGATAGCGTAATATGTATAGGAAAAGAAAGTAAGAATGTAAAGTATAATGTATAAGCGCAAAATTACGTTAAATATGCTATTGTCTACCGATACTGATTCTAGACAATAACATCATAAGTTATCTATTTATTTGCTTTTACAAAAGTAACGCAACGTTATGTGAAAAAATATATTTAGTCTTACACTGAAACTTATTGTTACGGGTGTAACAGAATCATCAAGTGTATGAGTGAATCAAGAATCACATTTATTATGCACGATACTGATATCAAACAAGTTTTTTCTGGTATTTACAGAAAAAGTTAACTAAGGCAAAACAATAGAAGAAGTTTAATGACTTTGTATAAAACAAAATGTGTGGTTTAAGTGTATTGAGATGTGCAAATTTTTCGACGCAAGAAGCGTTGCAGAACTGATGTTCATAGTGAAATCTTTAACAAAAGTAAGAGTGGGCTAGTAAAAGTAGGGCTATCATTAGTAAATTTATAGAACAAACCTGAGAGTAGGTTGAGATAAACAATTAGTGCCATACAGCACAGAAAAATTGAAGTGTCCTTTAATTTCTGAAAACTTGACATCGTGTACTATGCCTATTGTCTTTGGCTTATCGCAATGGCTTCTTTTCCCTTAAGTTGTGTAGCTGCACGACTTAGCTACTAATGAACTAAACGTTGGAACAAAAGATTGTCAGTTTGATGGAAATCCCGTACTGAATATAGATGTTTGTAATGCTCACAGCAGTAGCTCATGAATGAGAAAGCGAGAAAATAGGGAGACCAAGTCTTATCAACAAACCGATTTTAATTATGACTTGACGAAACAACTATCAAACCTTATAGTGCAGCTTAAGAGTTCGTGCGTTTCTCGTATTTAATTTATAAATTAATAGCTTACGAAATACTGTAATAAAATATCGTAGACAACAGAAGACAAATTTTTTGTGAACAAAGTGCTATTAACAAGTCTTGGTTAATTCACACTTTCTGTACCAGTCATATTGTCATACCGATTATAATAATTGCGAATCAAAATAGTAAAGAAACCCAATCATGCTGAAAGTAATAAAGATTAAAAAAAAGAAAAAAAACTTCTAATATGAAGTGAAAACAAAGTTTTCAAATAAGATTAACAGTAGTTAAAATTAGTTTTTTTTTTTTTTTTTTTAACTTTTTATACGTGGAAAAATAATTAACAAGAATTCATTTTACTAAGCTAAAGTGAAAACTTAAAAAATTTTTGCAAAAGTTTAAACTTATTTATTGCTATTATTATTGATTTGTTGAGAAACAAACTGTACGAAAACCATCTAGAAAGTGTCAAGAATCAGTATGCAAAGTTTCAGCAGGCTCGTTTGAGCAATTTTCACGATTACGTCGGTTTTTACGACTTTGCTTTATATATTAGTAAGATGTACATATAGATAAAACTGATACGTTAATAAAAACAATTTTATTTAGGTAAAATGCATCAACTTAATATAAGTTTTGTGACATTCTAATTTGTATATTTTTATCATAAAAAAATTGTAAGAAACCGATATAATTAATAAATTCTTGTGAATTATTTTTCTAAGTAAANGTAGCAGGTATGTGTAACCATCGCAGCTAGGGAGTGACAATGTCCATGAATATATGAGTTAATCTTATTTGAAAACTTTGTTTTCACTTCATATTAGAAGTTTTTTTTCTTTTTTTTAATCTTTATTACTTTCAGCATGATTGGGTTTCTTTACTATTTTGATTCGCAATTATTATAATCGGTATGACAATATGACTGGTACAGAAAGTGTGAATTAACCAAGACTTGTTAATAGCACTTTGTTCACAAAAAATTTGTCTTCTGTTGTCTACGATATTTTATTACAGTATTTCGTAAGCTATTAATTTATAAATTGAATACGAGAAACGAACGAACTCTTAAGCTGCACTATAAGGTTTGATAGTTGTTTCGTCAAGTCATAATTAAAATCGGTTTGTTGATAAGACTTGGTCTCCCTATTTTCTTGCTTTCTCATTCGTGAGCTACTGCTGTGAGCATTACAAACATCTATATTCAGTACGGGATTTCCATCAAACTGACAATTTTTTGTTCCAACGTTTAGTTCATTAGTAGCTAAGTCGTGCAAAAATCAAAATCATGTTTTTTTTTAAGTATCCAGACTCAAACAAAGACAATGTAAGTTACATGAATATCTCATTCGTATTAGTTTTTATCGAATCATCGTCGTGCACTTGTTAAAAAATAAGAATTATCTTCTAGAAATATTTGTTCAAAGGAAAAAATTATAAACATTATAAATGCGCATTAAAAAAAGTGACTTAAAGTATTTTGTGGTTTAAAAAAATTTCATTCTACTATTACCTATACGATTAGAATTCTTCGGATTGGACTTAAGCAATAGTTTATTGTAGAAGTGTAGTCATTTTCGTGTACCTAAAGAATTATTTACGATATATATGTAACCTCGTAATTCTAGATACTGGCTGAGTACCTTATATTTTTATTTTGTTACCGTTCATAATATGCATTGAATAAGGTTCTGAACGTTGCTTTTAGCATCAATTTATGTAGGTTCGAGAAAAACACCTGAAGCAGGGAGAAGCTATTAACGTTTTCCATGAATAAAGATTATCATACACTAACATATTTAACTTTATTTTACTTGATTTTTTCATTCCAACTAATGGAACTTTACATGTTTGCAAAGAAGATCCTCTCGATAGGTTGAGGGCATTTTCGGCTGCCTAGGTATAGTTTTATAGCTACTATATTAGAACGATGATTTTTAATCTATAACATTACCTAGTTTATGCCTGTCATGTTTAAAAAAAAGTAGAGATAAAAAAAAATCTTCTAGTGATTATGATATTCCCCATTGAATCCATACAAAAAAAAAACAATTTCTTATATAATTCAATGGAAGGATCTTTAAAAAAAATGCTGTTTTCTTGTTTTCTATGAAAAAATTTTGCACTTTATTTGAATTTCTAGTTGTAACGACGACTGATCTCACTGGAAATTGTTACATTCGTCAAAAATATTGAAAAAAATTAACTTTCATTTGTTAATAGATAACAACATTGATGTTGAATATCAAGTATAATCAGATGAGTGGAACTACTATATTTCGAAGGCCGTCAACAGTGTTTGGCGATGCTGGCTGGTACAGCTGCATCCAAGACAATAATACAGGAGCAATTATAAATTTCAACGATTTAAATGTTCGTTGGATGTACGTTTATGTTTAATGTAAGAAATATTTTATTCTACTAACTTACTTGTACTTCTGATTTAACATGTAATTATAAGTGATATAATTTATTAAAAGTGAAATAATTTTTTTTTTTCTGATGCAGCCAATAAAAGTGAATCCGTACAAACATCTAGTGATATCTTGAAACGCAAAGTACGTATTGGTGATCGGAAAATTCTGCCGTGCCACCTAACATCCCCTGAATTCAATGTGATTCTTACGACTTTTGAGAGTTTGGTATGCGACATTTAAAATTTTTTAAATTACTTAAAGGCTACTTGAAAATACACACTACATTTCCAATTACTTTTTGTAGGAGCCCCAGCCCATGGCCAGTAGTAAGATAACTTTTGATCCAAAATTGGGTTTTACCATTGAAAAATCAGAATACACAGATATTAATAACTAAACTTGTGAAGTTTATCAAGATGGTTTCTTGCAAAAAATACATGTCAGTCTCTCAATCACTAAAAAAGAGCTGGAAAAACCAGTGATCAATATTGATGGCTCGGAACCCGTTGTTGAAGGATCAATGTTGAACGTCAATTGTACAGTTAAAGTGAAAAAAAATAGCCCTTACGATATTTTCTGGGAAACTCCTGCAAATTTGGTAATATTTAAAGTTAATTAACACAATTATCTTACAGTTTTATTCATTAACATAGAAAAATTTCAAAAGAAAATAAACAATTCCTAGGCTCAACTAAACATGTAATTGAACCTATGTTTTTTTATTCGTGAAGTTGTAAAAACCATCAACGGGAGTAGTCTCAAATTTTTTCTGATAAACTTTTCATTCAATCTTATACAATGAGTAGATCGTTGCGTTATACGTTTCAAGAATCAATAACATCATCATTCTGATAAAGTCTTTTATTCAGCAAAATTTTTTTAGAATTTTTCAAGAAAAAAATTGTTGTAATGTTTGGAGTTTATTTTGCTTATACAATGAAAAAGCTTTGTATCTGTTGAGGATAAATTTTGGCAAAAAACGTTGTTAAAAAAGTTTTGATGATTAAGACGATAAAAATGATTTGTTTGCGAAAAATATCTTTCTCTCTGAGTGTGTATGTGTGTAATAACTTATATCTCAGAAGTTAGTAGATAGATTTTATTCATAACCGATTAAAAATTTGTATTTTATATTTTTCTAGCTATCTAAAAACAAAAATACAGTTAAAGTACATTATTGATGTTGGACGAAATTTTTTTTGGTTTCAAAAATGTTTTTTCCGCCCT